AGCCAGAAACAGAGCACGTCAAGAAGAAAAACAGAGACTATATTCACGCCGCTGCACAGCTCGATCAAACAGAGACGATGAAGCAAGAAAAACAAAGACCATAAACCGCTGCACTGCTTCATCAAGCTCGATCAAACAGAGCACATTCAAATGGGTATCAGACGGTATCGGCCCATATATCGGATTCACGCCGCTACATACCGGGACTCGAACGCTACGGCTGTAAATTTTATTCTCACCGGTATACCGGAGAGTATCCGAATCGGTGCTATGATTTTCCGGTACGAATCGACCGGTACGGATATTTAAAACTATGCTATCTATGGAATTTGTTTATTTATTTATTTATTTTTGGATTACCTGTGGTTCTCTCTATATGTGTGTGTAGTTATCTCTCTATATATGTTTTTTATTTGTTCAAATTTTGCTGAAATCTCACCGGAGAGACAGACATTTGAGTTTTTGTTGTTGTTGTTGAACAAATCTTGTTGTTGTTATTGAACAGATAATGGCTTGGACAATAACAAAGATTTGAACAAATAAATTTTTTTTTTTGAACACTTTAAGCAAAGATTTGGCTTGGTATTTCAACAAATAGAATAAATTAAAAAACAATACTACCAAATTTAAAACAGATAGAGACACATTTAAAACAGATAAACAGATAAACCCCCAGATTTTAAACAAATAGATTTTGAACATATAGGGAAAAAATTGAATAAATAGAGAAAAAATTCAACAGATAGATATAAATTTGAATAGACAGTCAAAAAAAGCCAACAGATAAAAAAAATTCAACAGATAAATTAAGGGGTAAAATTAGAAACAAAATGTCTTTCAAAACTAACAAAAGGACTTCTCATCAAATTATTTTACGAAAGGTGAATTTTTCACTAATAAAAAATATCCACTAAACCTAATGTCTTATACCTTTCTTAGATTAGTAGTGTTCAAAAAAAATCAATGGAACTAGTAAACCGATTCAATCAACCAGTTTGATTTGGTTTTTTTAGTTATGGTTCTGATTTTGATTTTGAAAACGGTGAAACCGTTCAAATTAGTTCGATTCTCGATTCCAAGGCTTTGATTATAGTATTGAACCGGACCGAATTGTGACATATTTATTTATTATTATTTTTATATTTTTATATAAAAAAATTAAAATAGAAAATAAGATTTGAACTCTAGCCAATATTGTAAAATTGATAAACTCCAACCAACTCTAATCAACTAAACCAAACTAATAATTATTAATTTATTTACTAACATAAAATTCATATCATATTTATTATTGTATAAAATTTCTACAACCATAAATCGAACCGAATCAAACCAGTTTCTATGTTTCGGTTCTGCACTACAACATACAAAAGTTTTAAATATCAAATTTTTTGGTCTCAAAAAGTGAAAAATTTGTTGCAAAATATATTTAGAAACCAATTTCTATCGTCATAAGAATAGTCGCTAAAAGGTCGTCTAGAAAAGTCAAAAATAAGTTTTTAGCAACAAAATTTTGAAAATGTCACTAATAAATACACTTTTAGGGACAAAATAATTTGGTCTCAAAAAGGTTAATTTTTTGAGACAAAAAATTTGTGCCAAAATGATAATAATTCATCACTAATGTCCAATTTTCTTTGTTAAAAATGTAATAACGACACTTTCCACAACAAAAATATTTGGTTCCTAAAAAATACTTGTGTTCCTAAATTTTGGTTTCCAAAACCTTTTTTTTTTTTTTTGTAGTTCTGGTTCGGTTCCACAGGTTAACGGTTCAGTTACGGTTCCAATTTTTCTGGAATCGTAAAAAATGGTTCAGTTCCTAGTTTACTCTAAAATCGGACCAATCTAATTTGTGTACATCCCTACCTTAGATTGGACTTTTTAACAATTTTCTCTTTAAAAAAAATTGATATATTTTGTTAAACTAATTATTTATTATATTACAAGTCATGTTACATTTTGTATAATTCTTAAACTATCGAGTGTTTAAAAGTAAATACTACAACTGATATCTTGGTATATTTGTTACCAAAAAAAAATAATAATAATAAAGACGAGAAAACATTATTAATAAGTCCAAAACACTTGAAAAATGTAGAATATTTATTGTAATAATTTCGAAAAGATACATTAAAAATGTATGGGTAGTGTACAATATAGTATTGACAAAATGGGTATAGAATTGATTGGGAAAGATTGGATTCGTAATTTCACATTCAAGGCAGGAATAGGGTGAAGGAAGCAAGATGGAAGGGCGAAGGAAGCAAGATGAAAAACTTAAGAATGAATGGTGGAATAGTTTCAAAGTGTTTTGTTGAGTGAAAAGAAAAGGATAGTATCCGTAGTATATTGTTTTGCAATTTTACTTAATTAAAAAAAGAAGTAACCAAATGATGAGGGATGTAAAAATACTTTCACGTCTTTTGAAAAAAAATGATTTTTTTTCTTCCAATAATAATAAGTCTTGTGCTGCGAAATGGTGCACTATAGCAAAAGAAAGAAAATAAAACAAAGTGAAATAAATTAAACTTGTTTTTTTTTTTTGTTGAGTTTTAGAAATAAGGAAAAAAAATTATTAGATATTTGTCAAAAAAAAAACAAATAAGGAAAAAAAATTATTAGATATTTGTCAAAAAAAAAATATTCTTTTGTTTGGTTATGCCTAAAATATATATATATATATATATATAAGTATTTTTTTTATGCTAACAAATTTAATATTCAAGAGTTTGGAGCCCCTACAAGATAGGATTAGCTAACCCCATCAATCATTTATTAAAAATTATTTAAAAAATTGATATGAATTTTGTTTGTTTGTTTACACCATTAGTTTGTTTACTCCGCTCGTATCTTTGTTTATTACGCTTGATTTCCTGTCTTTTTTGTGCAAATTTTATATTTTGCAAGAATCTTTTTAACAAATTAAAAACTGTCTTCATGGATATCATACAATTAGTGTTCTAATTTCATTAATTACGGCGTAAATTTTGTGAAATTAGGAAAAAGTTGTAATGAATTGACTTTTACTTTTTTATTTTTAGAATAACTGAATAAGATAAAAATTCTAAAGTCACCATTGTGAGAACCACTGATAAGAATCGAACTCATGAACTCTTATCCATCACTTGTGTTGTCTTTTTTAAAGGCTTAGGTGTGACTTTCTTCCACTCTTCCAAACATAATTAGGTGGTGTTTGACTTTGAGTAATCTTCGAAATGAATTTGGGCCCTAATTGCCCTCATGTGACAAATATGCCTCCATCAATCATCTTGTATCAAATGGCAAAGTTATTTATAATCTATTTGAATGTTATTTATTTATAATGAACGAATAACATTTTTTTTAAATGCAATTAAATTTTATTTTTGGTTAAACTACAAATATATCGCTGAGGTATATTTAAAATACAAATTGATTTTTGTGATTTAGAAAATTATAAATATCTCATTATAAAAAAAATTTAACAGTAAAATTATTAACTGCTCTCATATATAATAATAAAATTTTCTAAATTATCAATTAAATTATATTTCTAACAGCATTAAAAATTATTAATTAACTTGATAATTTATTGATAAAATATGTTATTTGTTATGAAATTAGAAATTTCTGGGAGCAGGCTGTAATTTTTAGAATCACATAACACAATTCGTATTTTAAGCAAATCTTAAGGGATATATTTGTAATTTATCCGTTATTTTAAATTCAAAATTTTGAAAACAAGAGAATTAATAAATTGAACTATAGGCGAATTTCTTTTTTTATTTTTGTTTATGGGGGCACGTAAAGAATATAATTAACATGATATTTTGGAATTAACTATAACAATTTTCCACCACTTGTCGGTTTTCTGTCAACTATAGTATCGAGGGTATCAAAATCAAAAAGCTAAATGTTTTGGAAAACAGGTATGAAGGGATTCATATTAAGATGTAGTAATATAAATGAACAATCATAAAGTGATCACACATGAAAACTGTTTTGTCCATTACAGATAAGTGTATAGTCCAAACCTAGGATTCCCTACTGTTTGACAGACCTTTAATTAGGAGAAAAGTTGAAAAAACAAAAGTTAAAGCAACTTTGGATAGTGTTCAGAATCATAACCTAAATAACAACATCATTCAAATCCTTAAAAGAAAAGTAAATTTTTTGAATAGTTAAAGTGGCTTTAGTGCATGCTTTACTTTAGCTATATTTTCAAATATACAAATCTTGAGTAACATGTAAGCTGTATTAGCTCAATCAGTGATTAACAACTGTGGTGGAAAAAAAAATTTAAAAAAAGAAAAAGAAAGAAGGGACTGTAAATTGGCAATTCAGTTGAGCTGAAACAGCTAAACAAGAAAGAAATAGTGGAAAATAAAAATGTGAAATTTCGAAAAGATGATCAAAACTAAACCAAAATCCAGCTATGTTTTTGATAGAAACCAATTATGAGCCATGTATGATCCCAAATTCTGAACCTGCAATCTAGTATTTCTAAGAGAATTTATGATATTTTAATTTTGTCAGAAATTGCTTTTGTTCCTCTTTAATTAATTCATTCAATTTCGATAAACTGGTAACTTAGTCTGTGATGACTATTGCATCAAAGCAGTTTATGGTTAGGCAAATTCTTAGGTTATGTCAATCACCCTTGATCATCATCATGCAAATTTTTCAAAAAGCCAAGAACAAGCTAAAATAAAATAAAAAATGAAAGAATAAAAAAACCAAACCATATTAGCCTAGCTCAAATGAGATATAAAACAAGTAAAGTTTAAATTGCCTATAAACAATTAACAACTCTAGCACAATCCTCAACCTTCTAATGAGGTGCAAGTATTCTTGTTAACTGAACTAGCCCACAAGATAAGTTTAGTTTGGATGCGTAAGGATATATTGATAGATAAGATTAAGTTATAAAATCGAACACAAAATATATATAAATAAATATTTTTTTTAGAAGTAGGCCTTGTCAACGTATTCAAAAAATTATTTGAATTTTGTATTAGTAGCAGAACTACTTACATAATTAATTAAGTTGGAGAAAACTTATTGCATTTTTTTTGCATATTTGTGACATAATAGTAATAATCAAAACCAAAACCAAAAAATAAAACAAAAATAACTCATAGGATTGCCCACTTTTTTCTTCTTTTTTTTCTTTCCATATCCTTCAAAAACCAAAAAACAAAACACAAACAAACTTCACACCTCCTCCAAAACACCCCATAATACCAACTTACCAAAACAAAGAACATAAACTTTTCCAAAAAAGCCACATAATTTAGTCTTCCACGGCCATGAAGCCCCGTGAATCAGACCCCTTCTTCCCTTTCCCTGTCCTCCTCCGGCTACCAGAGCCGCCGTGATCATGGCGGTAGTAGTTCCCGTCGTTGAAGATCAACGGCAAATCGTTGGCTTCATCGCTGTCGTCTACAGTGGCTATGCGGATGCAAGAGCATCGTTCCAAGGAAGCGAAGAATGCGCTTGCGACTCCATTGACGAGCCACATGGCCACCCCATCGAGCTTTCCGCACCCACCTGGTGAGCCATGGGTTGGGGGAGACTGGACCCTGGGCTCCACTGGGTTGGCTCTGAGGTTGCAGAAGCTTGTGCAACTGGTGGATGTTGTAGCTGCCATGAATTGTTAAGAGAGAGAGCGAGAGAGAGAGAGAGAGAGAGATGGGGGGTTGAGAAGTTTTAATGCGTCTTCATTCAGGTTTTAATTCGAGAAATTTTATGAAGGCATGTAGGGTACTCGCAGAGGATCTGGACTCGTACTAAAAAGGGTTACGAGGTTAATTTCCATTAATGTCCTTGATGATCTGCGTAATTACTATCATGTATTAACTAAATTTATATGATCCACAGTGACAACTGACGGCCAAAAAAAAAAATGGATAGAATACCTTTCTTTTTCGAGATTTTTATTGATAAATCTTATTTAAAAGTGTTCTAACTTAAGAAATTTATAGAGAAATTTTTTAACTTACTTAATCCTATATATTTATACTTTTATTTTATAGAGTCTTTTTTCTTGATTTATACTATTTTCTTAGACTTTTATACTCTTATATTTAATATTGATATTTGATGTTGAGGGGAAGAGAGAGAAGGGAAAAGACCAAGGCATATGAATTTTTATACACAAATTAAATAACATTGATATTATTATTTTATATTATTATATAATGTGAATATATTTTTAATTGACAAAATATTAACAATAATGTGAATATTCTCTCTCATCTGATGTGAATATATTTTTAATTGAAAACACATTAAAAATAATGTGGACGTTCACAACACCTTTTCGAAAAATTCTCTCTCATCTAATGTAATGATGTGAACATTTACAATATGTGAACCTTCTTATTTTTAATTGACAATACATTAAAAATAACGTTCATTATATTTTTATTTGACAACACATTCTTATTCACAACATGTAGTGATGTGAACGTTCACAACATGTGAACATTCTCTCTCATCTAATGTAGTGATGTGAACGTTCAGATTCATATGTTTTAGTATGAATATTCACATCATGTAATTGATAACACAATGACAAAAATTTATTCCAAATTAATGTGAATATAATGATGTGAATATTCACATCATGTAATTAACAGCACAATGACAAAAATTCATTTCAAATTAATATGAATATAATTATAGTCAACATCCCAATGCATGGGAATTACCAAAATATAATGACAATCAACATTAAATATCAACATTAATAGGGGATATGAGAGATTGAGGGTGTTTTAGTCTTCTTACCTCAAATAAAATTTAATGGAATAGTCAAAAAGAATATAAATTGGATAGAATAAAACTCTTAAAAAGAAGATTTATCAAAAAAGCTCCATTCTTTTTCACTTTGCTCATTTTGTTAAGTTAACTTCTAATTTTTTTTTTAAATTATTGAATTATTCAATTTTATTAAGAAAAATGCTAAAAGTAATGCTTAGGGTTATTATTAATGTTGAAAATGTGTATTGATATGTATAAAAATATTTAAAATATGTGAAAAAATATATTAAGTTTATAAATATTTTGACATTTTGTATTTTTTATTGATAGCTTTTAAAACTGTCATTATCATTGAAAAATATGCTTATAGTTAATAAACAACTTTTAAAATAGGAGTTTGTGTCACTTTGTGTTACTTTTGTCCATAAACAATATAATGTAACTTTTGTCCATAAACAATATAATGTAGAGAATAAAAATACAGCAATAGAAAATTTATAAAATTACAACTTTGGATATCAAAGTGACACCAAATGTATATTTTTGAAATTATGTGTATTTTATTACTATTTCATTAATGATTTAGATGACCATTCAAAATTAATAAAATAAAATTTAGAAGAAAAAACTGATAGAAAATGCATTTGTTAAAAATTGTGTAAAACACGAAAAAAATAGATATAAATAAGAATACAAAATCAATAAAAAATTGTAAGTGACGATAAATTGATTCATCCTTTGTTTGGAAAGGCGGACTTTTTGATATTTTAGCTAAATTAGTTACAAAAGAATAAAATATGTTAAAAAGTTAATAAGATAAAATGTCATATTTAAATCATAATTATTTTATTTTTTCTTTCAAAAAAGTCAAAAAAATTTTAAAAAAATTAATCTAAACGAACTTTTAGCCTCGGCCTAAATAACTAAAAAACCAAAAAGCTAGTCTACTTCCCAAATGAAGCCACAATTTAATGTTAGCAGTAGGTAGCAGATTTGATATTCCTTTGGCCGCAACTGATAAAATTTTGTGTTTTCAATTTGTTTAGATTATGTTTGTATTTTCAATTGAAAAAGAGTTTAAATATTCTGTTGTGTTTTCAATTTGAAAATCCTTTTATCAAATGGCAAGTGTTGATATTTGGTATTTTCGTGTGGAAAATATAAGCTTAATTTTGTTTTGTTTTTTTCTTAAATCAAATTAAATAGTTTTTGAATAAAAAAAAGTAATGAAATAGTTTTAATAATGCAAGGTTTTTTTATATAAGTATTTATTATTGATGTTTGACAATTTACTTGATAATCTTTTGGTTATGTTGAGTTGGATTGTTATAAAAAAAAATGTTGACAAGTTGTTATATTATGTTCAAATTTTGTAAAAGTTTAAACCGTTAAACTGATTCGCATCCATTCACCAATCCGCTAATCAGCTCAATCTGCATCCGTCAATCCGGCGAACGGATGCAGATTGATTTTTTTTCAATCCGCCAACCTAGTGGATGGATGACGGATTGAAAATTTTCCGACTACAATCAAACTGCGAACACCCCTTTCCATAGGAGACAGCTTTAAGCTTTTGTTTATGCTATTAATTAATTAATTATTACTAATGAAGCTTCGCATCCTAATTTTAACCTTTTTTCTAGTATTTAATTCAAATTACGATTTTTCCTTCATGTACTTTGCTCTTAAAAGCCAAATTAATTAAGAAATATTTGGTGTCTGTTTGATAATGTAATTTTTTTTATTTTTTTGCATTTTTATGAAGTGAAAAAAATTAGTGTGACTGGAATAATATTCTTCGTTAAATAGATAGTTATAAAAAATAATGATTAGTTGTTATATATGCATTCTTTTGATATTTTTAAAATTTTTAAATTTTTTAAGCCGAAAAAAAAAAAAAAAAAAAACCAAAAAAAAAAAAAAAAAAAACACACCAAACACAGCTTTGATTAATCAGTATCTATAAAAAGCAGCTAAATCATGGATTTGACTCAATGACAGTGATTTTTGCTCAAACTAATTTATATTGACGGTGATCCATAGACATGAAGAATGCTAAGGCAAAAGAAATAAAAAAATATATTAAAAAAAGTGCAAAAAGGGCAAAAGTGTCATAATGAGACATGATTGTGAGCTAGTGTTGGTAACGACGTACGCCATTTGTCTATAATGTATTATTATTATTATTATACTTAAAACGTACAAGATATTATTAGAAACACATAATAATGAAAGTATATGAAAGATGAACAAAAATGATGACCACAGATAATTATGGGACCCCACGATTAATTAGGTGCGTCTCATCATGGATTACCACCCATTAGTGTGCCCCCACACTAAAAGCATATTTGGTAGGGTAGAATGAAATAAAATAAGAATGAAATGAGAGTAAGACTTTGGCTAGGGCTTGCCTTCGGTTTATATTTTTCGAGGGTCTAGTTCGGTCCATTAGACTTATTTTTAAATTTTTTTTTTGATAATTTAAATCGTTCATATTTTAGAATTTTTTGAGTACATTATTCCTATAAAAAATCACATCAATCGAATAATGGATACTATATATTCGGATTACTTTTTTATGAACCATTAATTTTCTAATCGTTCATTTTTTTTTCAGACAAAAGTAATTCGAATACATCGTATCCGTTATTTGATCGACGTATTTTTTACAAGAATAATGTATTTAACAAATCCTAAAATATAAGCGGTTCTGATTTTCGAAAAGAGGCCCAAAAGTAGATCCAATGGGCTGAACTGGACTGTCCCAGATCTAGACTGGAGACAGTTCGAACCCTCAGAATAAAATACAAAGCTAAATGGAATGGAATATTCATTTTTATTCCATTATTTGGTCGCCAATATGAAATGACATAGGAATAGAATAATAATTCTCATTCTTATGTTTGGTTATGCCTATTAAACTCATAGAATGGAATAAATTTTTATTATTATTATTTTTTTTAACAAGTTGGTAATAAATAAATTAAAATTTTATATAGATCATGATAATGTTGATTAGGGATGAGCAGCGGATATTCTGATCTGCCCAAATCGATCGAATTGAACCGATCCGTCACATTTTGAATGGATGTGTGGTGACAAGCAGACGGTTGCGGAATGATTTTTTTCAATCCGTCTAGTTTTGGACTGATGACGGATTTGAGGTTTCTTTGGCCGCAACTAAACCTCCAAGCTGTGAGCACCTCTAGTAATTTGTAAGATTTTATATTTTCAATTTGTTTAGATATTCTGTTTGTATTTTCAATTGAAAATAATTTAGATATTCTGTTGTGTTTTCAATTTAGAAATCCTTTTATCAAATAGCAAGTGTTAATATTTAGTATTTTTGTGTGGAAAATATAAGACTTAATTTTTCATTTTAAAAAAAATCAAATTAAATATTTTTTGAATATAAAAAAAGTAATGAAATAATTTTAATAATGCATGGTTTTTTTATATGCATTTATTATTGATATTTGACACTTTACTTAATAATCTTTTGATTATGTTGAATTGGATTGTTATCTAAAAAAAAATGTTGATAAGTTGTTGTATTATGTTCAAAATTTGTAAAAGTTTAAACCGCCAAACCGATTCACACCCCTATCCACCAATCTGCCAATCCATTCAATTCGCAGCCGTTAGTCTGGCGGATGGATGCAGATTGATTTTTTTTCAATCCGCCAATTCGACGAACGGATAGCGGATTAGAGGTTTTTTGGCTGCAACCGAACCGGGAACACCCCTAATAGTGATAGTTGTGGAAATGATGGTGTGAGTTGTAATAGTTGTGGTGGTAATGGCAGCAGCAATAGGGGCAACAGTGGTGGTGATAGTAATGATAGTAGGATGGTGGTAATAGGTTGATGTGGCCTTAGTGGTGGTGGTAAGGTGGCGTTGTAATTGCGATGGTGGTGGTAGTGGTAGCGATGACGGCGACCAACGATAGTAGAGTGATGGTTCTCGCAATAGT